AGCTCGTGCTGTGGAGCCATCGGCACCGTCCCGGTGGGATCAGCAGCAGGAACATCATCCCTGCCACGCCACTACCAGCTCCCGGGGGCACCCAGAGGTGTTTGGCTGCTGTTCACAACAATTCCGCAGTCAGGGCGTTAGTCACAGGCACAACTTAGGAACGACCATAAACTGAGATAACTTTGGGTGAAAGAGGAGCCAAGCAAGGAGCGAGCAGCTCGCTGGGCGTTGAGTGCAACTGCTCGGGTTTCAAAGTTCACTAAACACCAGAGACAGGAAGTTTCACTGTCGTTGCTTGTTCTCTGCCCACTTGCGAAGGAGCTTCCGTCAGGGTTGTGTGGGTTTCCTTTAGAGCACCAGAGGGTGGGTGAGAAAACCAGCACTCCCAAAACAACTCCCCAGGACTGTCCATCGGGGATGAGGAGCTGCCAAAGGTGACTGCTGTTCCCACTGCAACGGCAGCTCCGTGGCCTTGCCCCTTCCACAGGGCTGTGTCCCCCCCAGGCACAGCTTCCCCACGGTGTCCCCTCCTTCCCAGTGCCCCAGGGCTCAAGGAGCCCTGGCCCTGCAATCAGGCCTTGGCAGAGCTGCCCTGGGCTCAGGGCAGAGCAGGTTGTGCCACCTGATTGTGCCTGGGCCAGCAGCCAGCTGCTCACCCATGCCAAAACCTTGATTTTTTTTTTCCCTTCCCCTGGATGGGGGCAGTGACATGTGCTGGGGGGGGTGGTAAAAAAACAACCACCCACTTCCAGCTGGAGAGAAAACCATGGCAGAGGTCGGCTTGGAAGGAATAAAAGGGGCACAGATATCCCGGTGATGCCCAAAGGACGGGTGGGGAACAGTAACCCAACCTGCCACAGCGACAGACCAGGGCTGGCAGATCGAGTTTTGATACAAAGGTGGCTAAAAAAAAAAAGCATAAACAGAGGGAGTCACCTTACGCCGGCCCCAGCTCAGGTCTGAGTGCACAGCTGCGAGCCAGGCACTCCCTGGAGCCGTCACAGCCCACGGGCACGGCCCTGGAAAGAGCCCCCCAAAGAGGGGAGTCCAGGCACAGCACTGCCAACATTTATCCAGCTCTCACAGGGCAGGGCAGCAGAGTGAGGGGGACTTGTTGTCCTCCTCCTCCACTGGAGGGGAAAAGATGATAAAAATGAGTGTCAGCAAGGCAGGAGCATCCCAGGGCTGCCGGGACACCCCGAGGCCCGTGGCTGGGAGCGGAATGGGCTGAGCCACACGAGACTTTCTGTTCCCAAAGGCTCCAGGGCCGCTCCTGGCTGCCCTGGCATCCAGCACTGCCACGTCTGCCCTGGCACGTCTGCCCTGGCACTGCCACCTCTGCCCAGCACCGATCACAGGGGACAGTGACCTCAGGACCTTGTCGGATGAGCTCTGGTGACCTCGGCACCAGGGCCCCGTCCCGGCCAGCTCAGCCAGGCCGAGGGGGGATCCCAGGGCAGGGATCCCAGCAGAGCTCGTTCCCTGGGGACAGAGCCATCCCTGACCCCAGGAACACGGGCCCGGCAGCTCCGGGGCCACCGGAGCAGACAGTTTTGCGTGGCTTCTCCTCCACTTTCCACTTCCAGGCAGGGAACACACAGCCCCTCGTTCCCTGTTGGGGGGTTTCCAACCTGTTCCTGTTATTCATCCCTCAGCAGCAGGACACGGCAGCAACACACAGAGCAAAAGCCACCGCGGGACACCCCACCCGACAACCCGCAGGCTCCCCGGCCCCCCGGCCAGGCGCGGGGACCCCGGCCGTGCTCCCCGGCCCCGGTGACCGGGAGCACCGTGACCTCGGCGGGGTGAACACTAATTAGCTCGTGACTGTCCCGGGCTGCGCTCTGACCCGGCCGCCCGGGGCGGGGGCGCTGGGGACGGGCTGTCCCGGGAGGCGCCGCCGCCCGAACGCACCGACAGCCCCGGGGGGCTCCGGGCGGCCCCTCCCGGCCCCGCCGCCCCACGGCCCCGGCCCGCACTCACGGGAACGGCTCCTCGGGGCCCGCGCCGCCCCGCAGCACCACCATGGCCCGCTCGGCCCGGGCCCGGCACCGGGACCGACCTCCGCCTCCCGGGGCCCGCACCGGCGGCACCGGGCCCGGCACCGCCCGCGGGAAGTGACGCCGCGGGGGCGGGACCGCGGGAGCCCCGCCTGGGGAGCCGCGGGGGGCGGGGGCACGGGGGGCACGGCGGGAGCCCGTGTAACCGGGGCTCGGCGGCTGCCGGGCCCCGTTAACCCCGGATAACCGCTGATAACCCCCCGTTAAACCCCGCTACCTCCCCTTACAAGCCCTCGTGAACCCCCC